ACCAGGCCGCGGTCACCAGGCCGCCGACACCAGGCTGCGGCGAGCTCCCTGTGTGTGGGGCGGCAGCTATGCTCCCTCCAACGCTGTGGTACTGTCACTCCCTCGGGCCTGAGTGGCTGCTTCCTCCAGTGGACCCTGGGGACCCGGCAGGGACCGACCCTGTACAGTGGGGCCTTGACTTACGAGTGTCCCGACTAACGAGTTTTTCAAGATACGAGCCGTCTCTCAGCCGATTTCTTGCTTTGAGTTGCGAGCTAAAATTCGGGTTACGAGCCAGCTTCAGACACCCCACTGCTAGATGGCACAGCGAACGTCACAGTGAACGCCACATCAGCCCAGCATCACGTGTCTCACTCGTTCACTTTATGATTTGACGTAAGAGTAATTTGAGTTACGAGCTCCGTCACAGAACGAATTAAACTCGTAAGTCAAGGCCCCACTGTATTAGCCATGCACTTGACTCCCCCCCCAACCCCCCCACCTTCCTCACACTTAGCGGCAAACCCCACAGACAGGAGAACCCCACAGACAGAACCCCACAGACAGGAGAACCCCACAGGCAGGAAAATCCCACAGGCAGGAGAACCTTGCACCTGGCTCCTGCTCCGCTTCTGCAGAGGGTTCGTGGGAGGCCCAGGCCACACCCTGGGGGGCGCAGAGGCGCCCAGGGAGGCAGAGGGGACACGCCAGGTGCCAGGGGGGCAGGCTGGCACAGAGGCATCTCCATAGATACAGGACCTTCTTCCTCTGGGACGTGAAGGGAGGAGCTGACTGAGGAGGCCACGTCGTGACCAGGAGAGAGAACAGGGCATCACTCCCAGAACCCGACTTACAGGTGCCATCTCACGCCTATCCGTGTGAGTCAGTCCTGACATACGATCAGGCACAGTGACCCCCCAACCACCACCGATGCGGACAGAGTGTCCCAGGCCATTTCCCTCCCACTAGTGACCCTAAGCTCTGACGTCTTCTGCTTCCCAGGCCCAAGAGCTGGTCCAGAGCTACCGCAGGGCAGAGCACCGACAGCCCTGGAGTGAGCGAGCACAGTGTTAATAGGAGTCGTCTCAGGGGAGGCGCCGGGGTGGGCAATTAGCAGATGCAAGAGCCACGCAAGGAACGGTTGACACCACTCGCCTGACCGCGAGGCTTCAGGGTGACTGGGGTGAGGAGCAAGTAAAAGCAGAAACGGCACCATATGCTGGGGTCCAGCCCCAGCAGGTCCAGGGGTCCCCAAAGGTGTGGACGGAGTCGGCGAAGAAGGAATGACACGGAGGCAGCGTTCAGTTGATCAGCATAGTTGGGTTCTCTAGCCAGGATCTCCAGCCAGGTTCTGTGTCCATGTTCTCTTGCTAGGTTCTCCAGCCAGGTTCAGTCACCAGGTTCTAGTCAGGTTCTCTTGCTGTGTTCTATCCAGGTTCTGTAGCCAGGTTCTTGCTCTAGGTTCTTTTGCCATGTTCTGTCTCTAGGTTCTCTGGCCAGTTTCTGTCCAGGATCTTTTGCCATGTTCTCTCCAGCGAAGTTCTTCTGTCTCTAGGTTCTGTGTCTAGATTCTCTTGCTACATCTGTATTTATACCAGTTGATTCAATCCTATCAATCTCTATTCCAAAGGTTGGGGTGTTTATCTCCATTCCAGGGAGTAAAGATTATGTAGCTTAAGCATGATTGTTTGTAGTTAAAGTGATTAATTACCCACCTGGCACTTAGTTAAGAGGTTTTATTCCCTCCCTAACTTCAGGGGAAAATCCCTACCTGGGGAAACAACCTTTCTTGGAGGAGTGACCTTGGTTAAAACACAGCGCCAAGAAGGTGAGCAAACATATTAAGAACAGTATGCCATATATGCCAGGTCCCTTGAAACAGCAAGGATGGACTGGCTCCCGGCAAACAGACAATTTCATTTTTTATGAATAACAATGATTAAAAAAAATAAATGGCCTTTAATTCACAAAAATGAGGGCAAGTAATGCTACAGACAGATGTGTAAGACAGAGCATGTCCAAGTGGACACCTGTACATGGCTCACCTCAGGGAAGCCATCTGCAAAAACCATCAGCCAATTCTCAGGGCTTTTGAAACCACCCCGACGTAGGTCACATTACCTCTCGCTCAGACGCGGGAAAGTACATGCGACTGTGAGAATATGCACAGGGCGTCTCCCTTCCCTTCGGCTCTAATCGGGCTTCTTCCTGCGGCCGAGGGTCCTCCCCCCGCCCCCGCCCCGAGAATGCAGCCAGGGCCGCAGGAAGGTGTGCAACCAACACGGTGTGCAGGGCACGACTCTCCTGTCCACATTTCCGGGGAACCCAGCCCACCACAGCACCATCAGGGTCAGAACCTGCGGCCCAGCACAGACCCCCCACTCCGAGGAGGGCTTCAGTGGGAACTTGGGGCCCAGCACAGACCCCCACTCCCAGGAGGGCCTCAGTGGGAACTCGGGGCCCAGCACAGACCCCCCACTCTCAGGACGGTCTCCATGGGAACATGGGCCCAGCACAGACTCACCCACTCGTAGGAGAGGATCCAGCAGCCGCGGGCCAGGCCCAGCAGCACGTTGAGGGTGCGCAGCGCCTGCCCGGCCAGCACGTGGGTGGTGCTCTCACACACTTCTCGGGCCAACGAGAAGCCTTTCAGTTTGGCCACCACCCGGGTGACGATGCTCTGCTTGCTGTCGGAGGGAAAACAGCACCGTCAAGGCTTCCTGCAGGAGCTTCGGGGACGCAGCCCATCGGAAAGGCCAGGACGGCTACGCTCCTGCACCCCTTTCAGCTGTGCTGCCACGTCCCCATCTCCCACGCCATCACTGGGACCACGGGGAGACAGGGTGTCGCTCTCACTGAGCGTCGCGTGAAGGGCTGAGCGCAGGCCCGGCTGCGACGGCTTCGCCACGTCCTAGACGGGCAGGAACGCAGCCGGGAGTGTGCGGCCTGAGAGTGCGCCCACCAGCCGCGGGCGGGCCTGCCTCTCAGGGGTGGCTTGGCAGGAAGAGACCTGCTCCTGAGAATGCGTGGAACTCGCACGCCTGATTTTCACGGAAAGGGCCCAGGTTTCGAGAATCTCAAAACCTTAAAACCTATGGCTGATATGAAGAAACACAGGTGTCCCTGTAAACGGGAATTCCAAAATCTGTCACAAAGATGGCGCCGCATTTCTGCTGGAAGTGCCGTGCTGCCCAGCGGCTCTGCACCCTCAGGACACGTGTGGACGCGCACCAAGCATGCAGGGAGCTCCCGCCAGAGCCTGCTCAGCGCTTCAGGGGAATGGGAGCGGGGCTCCCGACTGAACAGGTGCGATCCTGGGCTGGGTGCTCACACTCGTGCCAGCTGAGCAACAGGCAGAGCAGCAGGTGCGAGCCCTCTGCCCGGCTCCGCACCCAGCTTCAGGGCGGACCTGCTTGGTCTTTTACTTTTTCAATCCTCTCCCACGGTATTTTCCATTGATTTTTTGGAGGGAGGGGAAAGGCAGGGGAGAGACACACGGACTGGCTGCCTGCCGCCAGCGCCCCTATGGGCCGGAGCCAACCGCAACCTCGGTACGTGCCCTGCACCCCGCAACCTGCCAGGCCCTGGGCTGATGCTCTAACCACGGAGCCTGGCCAGGGCACACTCAGTCTTTCAAGTGCTGAGGGATTTTCTAACTCGATGTTAGTGATACAGCACAACTGAGAAACAGTCCCGGCCGCGACTGCCAGAATCCCAGCTCCCAGGACATACGGGAAGCAAAGGCTACAGCACTAGACGGAGGAGAAAGGCATCACAATGGTGAGTACTTACTCAGCGGGCATGCTGGTCATGACCAATGTTCTCACTGGCTAGAGGGTTCAAAAGAGAAGAAAAAAAAAGGTCAAAAATGTAAAAAGCATTTTCCCATATAAATAAACACTGACGTGTGTTTTTCTACAGTGACATCACTTAAAAATAAACATTTAAGCAAATATCAAAGGAAAACAACTTTGTCTTCCTGGAAACCAACAGCCCATGAGATAGAAAGGGAGATAGCATCCCCACACCAACCCAAAATAACCCAGACGTGAGGTGGTAGCGAAAATCCAAGTCCCCCTCCGGACGCCTGCCCCCCGGCCAGCGAGAGGCCCTGGCCACTCTGCGTGGGCTCACGGCTGCTCCTCGAAACGGACAGACCAGCTGTGTGGTCCCATCAGGAGTGAATGAGCTAAAGAGTCGTTAACACGTGTCCATTTCCTGTAGTGAGAGTTCGATGCACCTTCTAAAAACCACCTACGAAGGTCGTCCACGGATAAGGCCCAGACTCATGGGCAGAAGCAAACGTCGTGGCCAGAGGTGCACACTCCCCCCCCCCGCTGCTGCCCGGCTCGGATTGGCTCTCAGAGGCCCATCCAGGGGCCATAGGACTTGGCTGGCTACCTCGTTTTCTGAAGTTACTTTTCCTCTCTACTAGTTTTTGTTTTGTTTCATTAACAGATAAACAAAGGCAGGCCCTGGAGGCAGTGTGGGCTCCGCACCAGACACGGCGAGGCGTGTCACAATAAAGCAAGTCACGCATTCCCGTCTCCCAGCGCAAGTAGGCTTTTCTGTGCAACACCACAGTCCACTGAGTGCAGCAGCTTCGCGTCTAACCAGTGTGCACACCCTGATATAAACACTTCGCTGCTAAAAGAGAAAGCAGCAGAGCCAGCAAAAGGTCTTCAATGTGCACACAGTGCTACGCTCCTCCCGCCCGTCCCTGCCTGCGGAGGCTGTCTGCTGGGAGCAGAACGGCCTGGGCACCCGCACCCAGGGCCTGGACCCGCCCACGGCTGGAGGCCGAGCCTGACCCCTCACTGAAGGATGTGTGGGCTCCTCACCTCCTACCCCTCAACGTTTGTTCAGATTATAGAACAATTTCTGGCACAGCCGTCACTCTTGGCTCAAGGGGGGCCATCGGCATCTCTACAAGCCGCACCGGTCAGGAGCCACAGGGCCTGTCCCACCAGCAGTCTCCACTCCGAGGGGACCAGTCACAGGGCTCACAGGGCCCCAGCCTCACACAGGAGGACGGCTGCCCCCCCCCACCCCCCGCCCCAACCCTGCGAGCCGGCCTGGGGATAGTTAGTGGACCATCACACACCAACCTTGGGGCCTCTCGCTCTCTTCTTCGTGGCCGCGGGTCTGGCAAGGTCCTCACGGGCTTCCTGGGTGCCTTCCGGGACATCCTGCCTCGCCGGTCCAGGCCTGACACCTGCAACCAGGGCCTGGAGGTCAGTCAGCACTTGCCACGCACTGAAGGCCCAGGCAGCCCAAGCAAATGGAACGTCAGAGGCACTTCTGCGCGGTCCGGAGGCAGAGCCTGCAAACAGCAGCGCAGCCTCTCCCGCACTGAGGACCGCTCCGGACCTTCCCTTCGCGCCGCCCGACGTGCCACACAATCCCCCGACTCGGGGGTCCGATATGACTGCCAGGTGGGCAACAACGTGCTGCTCCACCGGCCCAGGCGTCCACCTGCCCGTGAGGACAGACGCCCGCATCTCCCGCACAACTCCAACCCCAGTTCTGTTTTACACGACGATCCAAGCCCGCCCTCCAGAGGAGGACACAGATCTCAGCCCTGGGTGAGTGCCAATGGCTGGAGACGAGCCCCCTCCACCCTCGGCCACCAATCTGCAGGCTCCCTATGCATCTCTGCATCTCCACCCGACACCAGCATCCGCTGTGAGGACACACACCCTAAAAAGACACCACTGAGCCCTGGCCGGTTTGGCTGTGGTTACAGCGTCAGCCCCAGGGGCTGCGGGTTGAGTCTGGTCAAGGGCACACATCTGGGTTGCAGGTTCAAGCCCCTGCCAGTAGGGGACAACCAATCACTGTGTCTCTCTCATCCATGTTTGTCTCTCTCTCCCTCCATTTTCTCGAAAAAAAAAAAAAAAATCCATGGAAAATATGTCCTCGGGTGAGGATCAAAGAAAAGACAGACACCCATCCAGTGACGTGGCCTCATGTGTCTCCTTGTCCGCGCTCGCCCTCCCTGGATGGCCGCCCACGCTCTGCACCAGCTGCTGTCCTGAGGCCTAACACCACACCCACCTGCCTGGCCTCCAGGGTCCAGCAGGCAGCGGCCTGGGGTCCCTCGGCCCACGCGGCCGGTGACGCACCTTCCCGTAAACGCCGCTCGCTGCGGATACGAGGCAGAGCACGGCCCAGCCCGGCAGCACAACCCAGCAGACAACGCAGCAGACGAGTCAACACGAGGCAGAAACAACGCAAGCACCAGCGAAACCACGTGACCCAACACCAGAGGGGCTGACGAGGGTGCTCTGACACGAGGCACAATGACGCTGAGGGTCAGACAGAGGGTGTCAGCCCTTCTTCCAACCAAGTGCCGAACGAGGGCTGAATGTTTTCCTGAACTAAAACTAGTTCTTTGCACTCAGGCCCTAAAAACGCCAGGTCCTGAGCACCTGGGAGCAACTTACCCGAGGCCTCTGGAGACACAGCCGACCCACGCTAGCCCACCGTCTCCTCAGCGAGCTCTCCACTCGACCTGAATTATTCAGCTCCCTCCTGGCTCCCTGCATCCCAGCCACGGC